TCTACGGCATGGTAATAGATCTAACAGATAACTTTCAGACCACAGGTATTGGAAACAAAACACCAGCACTCTGGCTTTCAGGATTGTTAAACACAACTGAGAGAGCCTGAGTAGCAGCACACCTTTGTTTCCTAATCCCCTGCGGTAGACAAAGTGGCTGAGAGTGTTTCTCCATCTGGATGCAATGGGCAAGGAACAGCAAAGGGAAATTTGGGTTGTACTGAACAATGAATATACTGATAGGAGTTTATGGTTGCTAGACCTTTCCCTGGATTCAGTAAGTTTAATAATTTAATCAAAGTTTAGGGTGTTAAAATGTGTGCCAGGCCACTGTAAACCCTGGATCTAACAAGTGTTAAAAGCTAATTAAGACAGCCAGAGATTAGAGAACTGGGAGCAATGTGAGTTGGAAGCTGAGAGTAGGGCGTAATGGGACGGAGAAACAAAACAACAAGCAGGAGAGTCGGAGCAACGTTTGAGAGAAATGTTCGATGTCCCTTTGAATCCAAGGCTGTGGCTACAGGAGAAACAAGACCCTTTGGGAGTGTTAATGCTATGAATCCCTCAATCGTAGGCTCAGGTTGTATATATTCATAAATAACCCCAAGATCATAAAGACACCACACAGTCTCTGCTGTGCCTCATTCCAAAGGCAAACACGAACCCTGGGTAAGTGCCTGGAACTCCTGGGCTTTCGTAGTGCTCAGAGATTGGTTTTGATGTGCAACAATACAGAGCTCTCATTGAAGAAACTTGCACAAACACTTTTGATCCTGAGGCCTTATTAGGTCTTTTTATTTTTAAATATGATTGTTACACAGTTAGGCCTTTGTGTACCTCTTTTGCAAATGCAAAGTTTTTTCCATTTCCCCCCCCCAAAAAAAAAACTGTGCAGGGAGACTTTAGGGTCAGTAGGCCAGGGCTGCCACAGCAGGATGAAGTGACCTGCTTTGGGGCACTGTGATGGGGAGATAGACGGAGGCAGAAAATAGTGGCTGAGATTTGCAGCAAGATTTTTTATTATTATTCAAGTGTTGGCACTATAAGGGACCAGAGGGCACCATTTGGGGCAGCGTGCAGTATCATCTTGGAGCACTTGAAGGCTGCAGTAAATAATAATAATAAATTTAAAAGCTGCAAAATTTTCATACGACCCGTTTTCAGAAAAACTTTCCATGTGTTTGGGTACATTCATGAGCCCAGTCTGCAGTATAGGTAACCTGACCCTCTGCTTCAGCACCACAAAAAGCACTGTATTTCAAATGCAGTTGCCCTAAACTTTGTTAAACAGCAACTTAGCCCAAGTCTGATCAGTGCTGATGAGAAACAGCAATGTAATTTACATATTAATCCTCTAAGGATAAAGCAAATGTTGAGGGTGACTTGTACCCCTTGGAACCCTTAAATTTCATTTAAACAGGCACCTGCTGTTAGTTTGTCTGAAGCAAGGTAATATCCTAGTCTTGATAAATCAGTGCAGTACCACTGCTGGCACATGTTCAGTTATCATCTGTAATAATCTCCAGATCATTCTCTAAAGTGCTGTTGCTTGGTAGCCGTACGTTTGATGTGTTGGCATTATAAGTTTCCTTCTGTGTCTCTTCTTTCTGAGTTTGGAGGATGGGGTGCAGCATCTGTAGGTCTAATTATCTTTCCCTCTGCTCATCCATTTCTGCATTAGTATTATATAAACATCTGAAGTCCTGTTTAACATCTGAAGAGCTGCCATGTTCCTAGCTGATACCTCCATTCTGATCCTATTTATTTTCATTTTGAAAGATGTTTTTCAATGAACCCAATGGCTCCTATGCACTATCTGGTTCTCTAACAGTGCCGCCCTAAGCAGATTTATTCTTTTTCCACCAGTGGAACTTACTGTGTAGCAAGAGTGATTGGGACTGAAATCCCAAATGAGCTGTAAACCTGAATGCAGTCAAGTAAACACCTTTGAACACAATGGAATTTACTTATCAGCAAACATGCATAGAATTGCACTGCCTTGGTACAGAGTGCTTCAATTTATTATTTTGTTTACTTATTTTAGGGTTGTTGCTTTTACCCTACACTTCAAAACAAATTAACTTCAAAATGAATTACAAAGGTAGCATGCACTAGAAAATTAAAAACAAAAACAAAAGCTACTCAAATGAATGAACAATATCCTATAAATGACCAAACAGAAGCAGCACAGTTTGTGAATGAGAAGCATCAAATCATCAGCTGACATAAAATAAACCAAATCAAAAAGTCTGTGGAAAAATGAAGTGTGGCTTTACCTTGGCACGAAAATGGCATCAAAGTAAGCATCAGACAAGTTTCTTTGCAGAGAGCACTCCGTGGGCAGGGTGCCACAATCAAGGAGGTTTATTTCCTGTTAGCCATCTGTTGTACTTCAAACTGGCGCTGTGTTAGAAATCCCTCCCACTTTTTGTTATTTAACATTCTCCAAAAAACATTCAAAACTGCATTAAGAAAGTGTCAGACAGAAGATTCTGGTGAAATCATCTTGGGTGGGAGGTATGGTTTTTGTTGTGCTTGCCATACTTTCAGGGTTGCCAAGGGCTGTTTGTGAGGACCCCTTCTTTCATTCTATAAATCATCTCTCCCAGGGTCTGAGTACCTGGGTATTTCCTGAAACCCCCATGACAGCCTCAGCCTGGCTTTTCTATAAGCATGGGAAGGTGGGGAGGCGACTTACTGTGCATCTGACTGCTCACTGTTTTTCAAGTGAAGTCTTTTTACCTTTAAGGGTTGGAAGATGTATTTAAAGGAAGAGCATCCCTTAAAGGCAAAATCTATGAGTGCACGAATCTCAGGTACTCAGTGGCCAGCTTCGCCAGCCTCCCATGATCCAATGCATGTGGTGGGAAAAACATCGCCCAGTACCTTCTCCATGGGGCTTTTTTCAGATCAGGAAGTACAAGAAGTTGGGGAAGCCGCAGAACACTGGGAAAATGTTTAATAGAAAGTCCTATTCTCAACCACTTCACAATGATAAAGGAAGTCTAACCCTGCACTGACCAAAATTATAAAGGAATTCTAAAGTTTCCTGAGAATGGAAACAGAGAAATGGAAGCCTCTTTTGTAGGGGAAGGCATTTTTGAGAAATCAGATGACACGTTTTGGCACACCACTAATTCAGACAGTGGAGGTACTCAGAGGAGAGCTCTGCTGAAGACCTTTGAGTATAGGTAGCGGGTAATATTCAACACTAATCCTTCTCAGAGGAGACCTATTGAAATTAATAAACAGTGGGTCTACTCTGCATAGGACTTGGTCGAATACAAACCAGATGATTGTTTGGGTACCCTGCAGTTACTTTCTAAAATGCCCTCATAGCATGGTGATATAGTACCTTCTCTTTTACCTATAAGCAATTCATGAAGTGGTTTAAAGTTCGTAACCAGGTCCTGTTTATTGAACTTGCCTTCCAATTTGTTTGAACAAAGCTTGTACAAGGGACACACTGTATCTACTGTTTACTGAGCATCCATGCTGATTTGTGTGCACGAAGGTTATACAACTTCCCATAAATTAATTGTTATTCCACACTTTCTAGTGTATTTTCGCATCACTTTCCTTACTTCAAAAGACATTTTTTAAAAAGTAGTTTTTGTGCATAAGAGTCCCAGACCACTTTAATCTTCTCTAATTGCACAAATCTAAATTTGCCAACGTGCGACTGATCTCCTCCTGCAATACAGTAACAGTTTGGAGGCGGCCCAGGAATTTGTCAGGTTTTAATATCGTTGCAAATTTTGATTTGTTAGCTGCTTTGAGGTTCTTTGGAAAATTTGGTGGCATTATACGTCCATGAAATGAATGAAGCGCAGATATAATATGGCCTTACTTTACCTTCATCTAATTCAGCTTCACAGCAATAATTTGAAGTAGTCTGTTGTTGTTTTCATTTTATAGAACAACTCAATGAGGGCAGGAGAAAAATGACTTTACCAGATTCAACCATCATATACATAGTACCATAATTTGAACCCATGTCCCAATCCAATATAGTATTCACAGAATCCTGTGTGCATTTCTTTTTTCTGCTAAACTAGTTTTCTTATCTCAACAAACAACTGGTGGGTGTAACAGATTTTGATCCCACTCTGCCTAGTACTAAATACCTTTATTCCTATGGGTGCTTACATATGCATTACTGAGAGAGAGAGAGAATAATTTGAGGAACTTTATGCATTCTTCTTCTCTTTCCTTCCTCCTTTCACCCTTTTTAAAAATCTAAGCATGTGTAACTATTAATGAATAAGGCCATGTATTCGCTTGAGAATGGAAAGTGTATTTCACTGACTATCAAACTGCAGTGCTTAAAAGCACATTACGAGGGTGTTTTTGAATGGGAAAGCAAAATTGATGCCCCCCACTGCATATTGGAAATTGCTGTTACTTTCTGAAATGCCCTCATCGCATGCTGATAGAGCACCTCCTCTTTTACCTATAAGCCATTTATATTTGGTTAATCAGAGGTTTGGATAAGCTTGACTGCTGCCGCATAGAGAGGTTTGGGGGAATATACAGTATGCTGAATTCAGATTAACTGGAAGATTGGCATAATAAAGGTTTGCTGATTGTGCTTTAATGTAGTTGTTTCTTTTAGGGGTAAAAAGAAAGGCAAATGCAGTTCCCACTCCCCAAGAATACCTTCAATATTCATATATGGAGTAAGGGGTTTTTCCCCCTAAGGTGACTATTATGAGTCTACATTGGTTTGGTTACATTGTTGAGAATGTCATTTATAAAGGCTATCCATCTTCACAATTCAGAGCACAATTTAGGCTGCAATCCTATACCTACTTACCTGGGATACTAGACTGACAATGGCAACTTTTTGCAAGTATTGATTGGATGAGGATAGCCAAGCTTATTTTCTTTGCTAAATATGCCATTTTTTTAAAAAAAATCTGTCTGTGTGGAAGCCAAAATAGGTCTGCTATCCTCCATCTTACATTCATTCGTCTCCCATTACGTTATATTTTTAATAGAAAAAGAGGAACTGTTCCAGAATTTGCTGGCGCAGGTGATCGAGCAATTCTCCAGGTAATATTTTTATGCAATAGTTTTAGTGTAATTATATTTCTCCTTGCATTCATTTCAACACTGCAGTCCCCAAACAGTTTGCTTTGAGATAAATGCGCCAGCTTTTCCCTCATTGTTCTGCATAGTGAATAGGGTATGCCTGAGTCATTTAAAAGTTTATACAGGCTAGTCAAGCAGAGAAAGATGAATTAATTGAAGGCTGCAATCCAGAACCCAATGGGATTTTCCAGTGACTAAACATGCAATGAATTCACTGGACTCCCCCCCCCCCATCTTGTAACTGAAAGGAAATAGAATTCATCTACGTATGCTGCATTTTGTAAGAGGGATGCAAAATCCCTAGCATTGTTCTAACTAAATAAGAGTGTTCAACTCCTTAGCTCCTTAATAAACCACTTACATGATTGCAAAATAAAATACTGTAAAGTAACAGAAATGAAGCCACAGAGAAAATATAATCAATGCTGCTGGAATAAAGATCAGGTTATTATATTAAGACATGGGACGCGGGTGGCACTGTGGGTAAAAGCCTCAGCGCCTAGGGCTTGCCGATCGAAAGGTCGGCGGTTCGAATCCCCGTGGTGGGGTGCGCTCCCGTTGTTCGGTCCCAGCGCCTGCCAACCTAGCAGTTCGAAAGCACCCCCGGGTGCAAGTAGATAAATAGGGACCGCTTACTAGCGGGAAGGTAAACGGCGTTTCCGTGTGCGGCTCTGGCTCGCCAGAGCAGCGATGTCACACTGGCCACGTGACCCGGAAGTGTCTCTTGAGTGAGATGGGCGCACAACCCTAGAGTCTGTCAAGACTGGCCCATACGGGCAGGGGTACCTTTACCTTTTATTATATTAAGAAAGGAAACATTAATTTACACATACAGACTCTTTAAAAATGTAAAGATAGACACACCAGCCCACACACCCCGTGTGTGAAACCCAGGAAAAACAGCTTCTAAAATGGAGGTCAGCTACCCCACTTATTTCATGAAGGGAAGCTTTACATCCCATTAAAGTAAGCAACTCCACATAGATCAAGATTCCCCTTTAAGGCGATAGCACAGTGGGAATTCTGCTATTTGTATATTGGAATAATTTTGCCTGTAGCTGATCACTAGACCAAAGCAACAACTTATTAATGGGATATCTGCACTTACTGGGTTTTTTTTAAAAAAGTATATTTAAATGGATTCAAAGTCAGAGTTTTATATTAATATTTTCCCCATCAACAGAATTCAGGTTTGTGATAAATTCACTTAATTGTACAGCTATCAAAGATGTGCATGCATTCCTGTTTAATTTTTTTCTCCCTCCAGGGTATTTAAAATTGATGAACTGAAAACCGATGTAGATAATCACTTGGCAATGCTGGAAAAAAGAGTTGAATGTGAGTATTTTTTAAAAAAAACAAAACATAAGCAATTTAAACCTGGAATTAATTTTGTGTCAGTTTGAGATGGTGCTGAGCCCCAGAGGTACAGATACATCTCATTAGGATCATTCCTCCTGCCTTTTATCTTTTGTGAGGTACAAAACTATACTGAAGAGGGAGGGGGTGAATCTACAAAATATAGAATTACTCGTTAAAGTAAAAGTCTCAATTTACATTTTGCTTCATTCTGTTACAAGGAATACCTGGAAAGAATTGTATAGAGACCCACCTCCTGTAATTGCACCCAGTTTGTAAATCAATCCAATCCATTAAACTGGAAAGACTCAAGTCCCCAGACCAGGTTTAGGCTCCTGTGCATGCTTGACAAATGTAGCAACCTACGACACCCATACATCCTCCTTGAATTATGCCTCCTCTACTTTCTTCTTCCTACTTATTTTTTTTTCTGGGGGGGGGTGCTCTCAGGCTTTATTCTCATGCTGCTGCTCTCCCAGAAATAAAAAAGGGAATGGGAGCTGTGCTCCTAAGACTGCCCATTTGCAGCACAAAAATGCATTTTGCTCAGTCCAGAATTGCTCATGCTTCTCCTCAACATACTGCTTTCAGTCCAGATTGATTCTCTACATCCTGCCACCCAGAAGGTTTACTTGATGCACATTTGAAAATGCTCCCTTTTATTAGGACATTCAGAAGGAAGTGGTGATTACAACATTGTTGAGCAGGTGTTATTATTGTACAGGCTGCTTTTGATCTAGATTTATTCTAGAACCTGCCATCCACAATGGTACTTGATACGTGTTTGAAAACCCTTCCCTTGGTTAGGTTACCCTCATCGTTTCCTCCCTGCACTTTCCCCCAGATGAATGCATAAGGAGCTGGTGGTTGCCATCTTGGTATACACTCAGCCATAATGCCATTGGTCAAGTGTGAATACACACAAATACCCCTATTGCTGGGACTTCTTACACCTGTTTTCACCTGTTGTCAGCTGGGCACACTGTGGGGTAATAATGTAGATTCAATCTGTAATGACCTTTTATTTTTGGAATGAAACCAGTTTCTCAAAAAGCACTTCTCAGGGCAAAATAAAAAATAAAAAAATGCAGTAGATCAAGATTGATGGCTTTTGGCAAAGATATAATTCTCCTGACTCCTACCTGCATTTCATAGGATGGCTACTTTCTGAAGTCTTCCCCCCAACCCCACCCCACAAGTGCTGCTGAAACACCTATATACTATTTCCTTTGAAGTTCTCAGTGAACTGGTGGTAACCATTGGCATGCACACGAAAGTTTATACAGTGGTACCTCTGGTTAAGAACTTAATTCATTCTGGAGGTCCATTCTTAACCTGAAATTGTTCTTAACCTGAGGTACCACGGGCCTCCTGCTGCCACCGCGCCACCGCTGCGTGATTTCTGTTCTCATCCTGAGGTAAAGTTCTTAACCCGAGGTACTACATCCGAGTTAGTGGAGTCTGTAACCTGAAGCATTTGTAACCCAAAGCGTTTGTAACCTAAGGTACCACTGTACCCAGAACAAACTTAGTTGGTCTCTAAGGTGCTACTAGACAATTTTTTAATTTACTCCAGGTAAGTATTAGGTAGTCTATTACCTTGAATATGCAGGAGGAGGAGGAGAGAGAGGCAAACAGCAGAGACAGGTTTGCAACCTTATACATCTTGCTTGCCAATGTCATTGTGGGAAGCAGGGGGACTAGATGATTATATGTACACAATGAGATAAGCAGACAGAACAGAGAGAGGGAGATTGGGGGAAGGGAGAAAGCTTCCTCAACAATCTCCTGGTTGCTAAATGTGGCATAGTTCATACCCTGGCAGATGGACAAGGGTGGAGACAACAACCCTAAAACAGCACAACCACTGCCACTGCCCACCTGAATGTACAGCCAGGATGATACTGCTGCGTTTACTCAGGAATAAGCCCTATTACACTCAGTGGGACTTATCTCTGAGTAGACATGGACTCAGATACATTCGTCACATTAATACTTTGAATGCGTTATAAGCATAGAACACCAGATGGCGCCAGAGAGCAAAAAGGAGTTTATATGGATTTTTACGTAGGCTTTTTTTTTTTTTTTTTTGGTAACGATTTATAACGATTTCTGACATATTTATAGCGTTTTTAACCAGTGTCTAGATCCACCCATGTATAGGATTGCAGTTTACATTAAAAAGTCACACAGTCTTCCGAGTCTTCGCCCACTAAGTTTATGTCTCTATTAGGAGTTGCACCAGACATCTTAGCCCCCTGAGGTATCAGAACATCTCAGCATCAGATTAATATCTGCTGTTCCATGAACTAGCTTTCTTTAAAAAATCAAACCTCTCCTCAAATGTCTAGTACACACACAGTATATATATATGCCTGAGGGTAGGCAGGCAGGTAATTGAAGAGATTAGTTTAGCACTATGAAAAGGAAAATCCTTTGAAAACATTTTGTTTACAAACACAGTGGAGACCACTGGGTGGTATTCAGCTAAGTTTTACTGAGATTAATCCCACTGAAATGAATGAACCTAATTTAGTTGCTGCCATTAATTTAATGGATCTGCTCTGTGTAAACCCTGGTTGAATACCACCCAATGTACCAAGAATAGGTTTATATATAACCTCTGTTCATTTCCATATAGTTTGCATAGGAGAATCCAGTGCAAGGACATCCAGCAGACAATTTTGCATACATACAGTCCTCTGCTACTGTTATTTACATGTGGAAAGGTATGATGGCTTAGCTCCCCAAAATGAGATTGTGGGTACTTTGGCGGTTCTGCTACTTCCCTGCACTGAGCAAAGCCATGGTTTGACCTAGAGATAAGGGCAAACAGGGCTGATGTCTCCCACGGTCTTTCACAACTTGCTCTTCTTTAGTATTCCTCTTTAAAAGTGGGGGTGAGTGAAATAAGTTTCACTTCATTAAAGAGGTAATAATAATTCGTGAAAGCAGAGGATTTATGAAAAATGAACTGACATACTGATGGCAAACTTGGCTTGATAGCAATCAAGTTTGATTTCAATCAAGCCTGACTCATTAAGACATGTTTTCCTTTTTACACACTACCATTTCTCATTTCCTTTCTTCATTCACCTATTCAAATGCAGCAATCACATTTGCATGTATTATGGAAGTTTCTTCTTTTCAGACGAATATGAAAGCTTAATGTCACCCCTGGAGCAGTTCCACTTGACTTGCATTACACAACACATGGGAAGAGCTCAGGAGGATATTTGCCTTTTTTTTATTTATTATTATTATTAGTAGTAGTAGTAGTAGTAGTAGTAGTAGTAGTAGTTTATTAATGCTTGGGCCATAGGCCATTCACACATAAGGTAGATGGGTACAGTACGAAAACCAGTAGTATAAAATACTGCATAACACCTACCTAGAATCATATATAAAACCGACATCTTGTGTTCCACAACACATGGGAGTAGGAGGATATTGGCCATTTTATTATGACCAAATGAATCCCAATTAAACACTTGTAAGTTTCCTTGAGCTTCCTAGGTACCAGCTTGAGCACAGCAAGCAAGCAGGCTGTGAAATTATCCTACTGAGTATGGTGTACACTTAATGCAGTGCCATTTTTTAAAAGTCCTTCAGCAACCAGATAGCAGAAAAAAGCCACTTATCTATTCAGATTGTATTAAGCTTTCAAGGCTACATGAAATGCATTTGTTGCCACCTGGACACATAACAAGTCAAACTTTTTGCCCTATGCCATACATATACAGGAAGAGGATTTCCTGTGCTGTTTTCAAACCCTGCTTGATATTTAAAGAACAGCATCATATTTTCAAGTAATTATCAAGAACTGAAATTACTTCCCAGTTCCCAGATTAGGTTATGAATCTCACAGCTTCCTCTTTCATGTCACCTGTTCATTTAATAGGGTGCTTTAAGCCCAGCAAAGCACGTTTGTCACAATACAATTACAGCTCTTCTTATTGTTAACATATCATTGCAATAGCTTTGTCAGGCGCTTCCATCTATTCATGTTCTGAGAGAGACTCTGAAAAACAGCAAGACAGCTAAATATTGCTGTGTACTGCTCACAATAGGTACCATGACTGTGAGTTTTTTGGGGGGATCTCCTAAAATCTTGTCAGTTTTAATGATTTATGATGTTTGCCGTACATGCCTGCAAAGGAACAGGTTTCGGACAGAAGGACCATTGAGTCACTGGCAAACACCACCGCTCGGTGCCTTTTGAAAAATCTGCACAGTTACTGAAATGAGATCCTTCGGGTTTCTCCATGGTAACCCCCCTGTTGTTTCACTTTGTTGACAGTGGAAGGACTGAAAGTAGCGGAGATTGAAAAGTGTAAGAGTGATATTAAAAAGATGAGGGACGAAATGGCAGCGAGAAGCACCAGGTAAGTTCTGCTTTTCTTTTCTTTTCTTTTTCTTTCGTCTTTGAGGAAAACAGCCTCCTCAGAGAGATTCCTGTATTAAGACTCTTCCAGTAATCCTAAGAAAGCTTACTTGGAAGTAAATCACATTGAGTTCAGTGAGGTTTACTCTCCCAGGTAAGTATGAATAGAATTGCAGCCTAATAAACAAATTTGTAATGCTTGATGGTCTGGGGTTGTTGTTGTTGTTGTTTTTAAAAATCTGTATAATCCAACATCATGTAGTATTATGAGTTGCGGGGGGGGGAGGTAGGCTGTATGCAAGATCCTTCTAATTTAGGGGTAGACAACCTAAGGTCCGTGGGCTGGATGCGGCCCAATCACCTTCTCAATCCGGCCCGTGGACGGTCCGGGAATCAGCGTGTTTTTACATGAGTAGAATGTGTCCTTTTATTTAAAATGCATCTCTGTGTTATTTGTGGGGCACAGGAATTTGTTCATTTTTCTCTTCAAAATACAGTCCAGCCCACCACATGGTCTGAGGGATGGTGGACCGGCCCACGACTGAAAAAGGTTGCTGACCCCTGTTCTAAGTCCTAGATCCAGCATGGATTCCATTGCTGGAATAGCCAGGCCAGCCTGGTAATGGCCTGCTAAGTATGAGTCATTAAGGGAACAAAGGTAGTGTCTCTGTGCTGCTGGACAAATGGGTGGCCTCCCTCTCTCAACTGTCTGTTTGTTAGAAAGACAAACAGCCAGAGTGGAGAGTTGAGTGATGTGAGCTAGAAGCTGGATGAAAAAGCTGCAGGCTGGGAAGTCAGAGAAAGAGAGGCATGGCTGATTTGTGCTGGAATCCAAGGCTGTGGCTATTGGAGAAGCAAGACCTTCTTGGGGTGTTAATTCTGTGAGCCCCTCCATCATCGGCTCAGGTTGTATATATGTTTAAATAAACCATTTATTGAAGAGACACTGCAGTCTCTGCTGTGCCTCATTACTAAAAGGAACCACGGGACCTGGATAAGCACCAGGAACCCCTGGAATCTCGCACAACTCGGAGATTGATGGTGGTGTGCAACAATACATATATATGAATGATACTTGTTTTGTTTAAACAGACATGGTAACTTAATGGTTAAATGAGCTCATGCCAGATGACTGGAAAAATAACTCTCATAGAGAGATTAACATCTTGGTTTCCCTATGTTTACCCATCCGGTAATAAAGAATTCTGGCCTTAGTTTTATGCGTAGAACAAAAACTTATTCTGCCAAGAAAAACATTTGTTTGGTAAAGAGGCTCTCTTATTTTAAACAGACCTGCTCAGATATGAAATGTAATCTGAGGAAATATCACAATATACACACAGCAACTCCTCTTGTTATGGTCTTGTACTATGCAAGGATGTGCATGCTATATTTTAACCCCAAAAGGAGGTATTTCCTTTTCAGCGGAAGAAGCTAGTCTGCTAATCTGATGCGTTACCAAGTTTGGAGCTGCGATTAAAACAGGAGCAGAAGCAATCATAGCTTGTAATGGCAGGCTGCAGCAGCTGGTACATTTCGGCTTCGCTGTCGCCGACACATCAGAGCAAGCATGTCGGCAGCCAATACATGATTAAAGTTGTTTAAGAAAAGAAGATAGAAGCAGTTCAGAAGGCTGGTGCTGCTGGGCAAAGGCATGGCAGCTTTGCAAACTTCAGCCCACTTAACTGTCCAAGCTTCCCCTAAGAAAACCTGGTAATTATAGTTCTGTGATATGTCCATGCTCACAATGCAGAGGGTGCGTAAGGTGCTTAAGGAGTTCTTGATGTCATCAGTGATGCAGGCGGCTTTTGCTAAAGTGTTACTTGTTTATATCTCACTATAGAGCTGGACTGGACAATTTCAGTTTCTCTCGTTTTCTTACTTCTCCAATCTTGAGTTCTCCACATTTCTGCAGCAATATGCCTTTTTCTATCATTAAAAAAAAATATATCCTCACAAAAATCCATCAGCATTTTGGTGCAGCTTTATTTATAAACACATCTAATATAAATATTTTTGCAAACAGCTTTTACAGATATAATGCATTTGTGTATGCTACTTTCACTAATTTATGCATTTTCATGTGCACTTTCCCCAAATAAATGCATGTTTGTACATTTTGGCTGGAGAACTATGTCATAAAATTTGGAGAAATGCGAATTTTAAAGGGCAACTGTGTTTTGGTTCACATATTGGTTTGAGAAGTACAAATTAGCTACTGTCTCATTCAAATGCAAATAAAATTATATTTCTCTCTCGTCCTCACTAAAGAGGTACAACATGCGTGCGTTTGATCTGGAGAAGAAGTCTTCAGTTTTCCCCTTTGGGACACTGACTTTTTCTCACCACCTGTTTTCTCCCTTGTTGCTTTTTCCCCAGAAAGAAAGAAACTAATAATGAAGATGCATCTATTGTTAATATTGTCTACTAATTCCTTTTAGCAGAAGCTAAACTCGACTCTCTAGAATTCTAAAACCTGGCTACTTCATGATTCCACCTCAAAGTTCCCCTAATCCTCCTTCCTTCACAACTTCTTTTATTTGCATCAATGTTTCCAGGGCTTACACAGTTGAGTCACTTACATTTTGTATTTATTAAATAACAAAGCCTGTAATTCTGAGAGGCCCCAAAGTGCAAGCAGCGTGCCTCCTGAAAATTACTGACAGGATGCAGGATTGGGGGGGGGGGAGAGAAGCGAGAGAGATGTAATAAGCAGATCCATGAGGCATCTTGAGGCAGCCACGTCTGAGGGGCCCCTCTGTGGGAACACCCACCCACCTACCCATACCACTGCTGCCAATGAAGCAAGGAGAAGCCACAGTGGCAGCTTCCGGGTTCCAGCGAGATATTGTGAGAGGCCTCCACAAGCTCTCTCTGGGGTTTCATGAGATCTTGCTGGAATCTGTAAACAGAAGGGACACAATCCCAGTAGAAGAGGTTTCAGGTGACAAAAGGAGATGAGCTGCCCCTAGTAATGAGAAAAGAACAGTGTCAGGATCATTGAGCATCTGTTGAGGCCTTCACTCTGGCAACCCCTGGAGCTCTCTGCCACTCTCTCCTCCTCCTCCTTGTTGTCACTGCCTTTTCACCTGCCCTCTCTGAGAAAGTGAGCAGCGAGTGGTGGAAGAAAGAGTGCAGCAGCCTCCCCTTGCCTTGCCTTCTCTGTCTAGGTGCAGGTTGGACTCAATGGGAGAGGGGATGTGGATGGGCAGGGGCAACATCAGAAGGTATGAGCGTCTTGCACATGGACCCCACAGAATCTGGAACCCACACTGGACAATACACGGAGAAAAGAGGTCACTAAGTGACTGAGAAGTGAACGTGGGATATAAGAGAGGCTGCACCACAGGAAAAACAAGGGGGCTGCTAGACTGATCCAGGAGATGAGTCTTTTGCTAGCCTAAAAGTGAGGGTCATCCTTTCCCCTTTCATTCAAAACACCAAATCAATAGCCACAGGTTTGGCATTTCACCCAGAATTTAAATCTAGCTGGTTATTCTAAGTAGCTAGAAGAAGAGCCTTGCTTTGCAAAGATACACATGATTGCAGCTGATGTTCCTTCACCCCTAATTATTACCTGTCAAGTGGAGCGTAATTTCAGCTCAGATTCTACTGGTTCAACTTGTACTCCACCAACTTTCTTGAAGCTTTGAGAGGATGAATAAGCCAAAGTGCACACATTTGTCATACAGTGTGTTCGCTTCCTCAATTGAAGCAATAAAACCTGTTTCCATTTTCGCAATCCAGATTTCAAGCCTGGTTCTGAGGTGTTTAAATGGGCACATCTTGGGGATCTGGTCTGACAATGGATAGCACACAACAACGCCTCCCCCAAATTGGCCACTTCTGAGTATTTCTATAATCCACTGGGCCTTTCGCTTAAGAAAAGAAAAAATGATGCTGCGTCTGACAGCAGATATAATTTTGCTTTCAGGAAAAAGGTGTCAGCCTATGTCCCTTTAAACGGCATTCACTTTCACACTCCATCTTTTCTTTTCCTCCTATTCCACAAAGATCAGTGTAAAACACTGGCCATATTCTCCTCTCACCTCCCCACCTTCACAGTTAAGACCACATTCTTAAAACATCACAGCTTCTGAAGTTTGCACTGTATCCCACCCACTGCCATTTGCAGCCTAAGCAGATGGCTTTTGCATTAGCAGCTGGGCCTGAGACATCGCAACAAACCTTGTCAGTATACTCCAGATTGCTGGGGGCCTTTCATTTATTCCGTTGCATGAAAGGAAAAGGATGTGCTCTGTGTGTGTGGCATTCGTCCTGAAGGAAGACCTCCGTAGAATTTAGTGATTAAAATTACAAGTAGCTTTGAGTTTCCTAGGCAACGTGGCTCCAGCTGTTTGAAGTGACGGCATAAGCCAATGTTGACTTACTGCAGAAGGGTCTTGATCCTTGAGCTGCTAAGCAAATACTCGTCTCGAGTTGGACTGAAAGACTTCCCATACACAATGCTGAGGATTCATTTTTCAATTTTGAATTCTCTTGTCCCGATGCTATCTCTGTTTTCTTTAATGCATCTGCGCTCTAATTGGGGAAGGGAGAGAAATATGATTCAGTTTGCATTTGAAGGTGAACCTAATTCACTATGTTTGAAACAATATTCAAACCAAAACACAGCCATCCTTTGGATTCTATACTTCTCCAAATTTTGCATTGCAGTTCTCCAGCCAAAAATGCATATATGCATATACTAGGGTAAAGTTTTTTTAAAAAAATAAATGATTACTTTAAAGGGCATATATTAGTGTAAATAGCATACAAAATGCATTACATTGGGGGAAAGTGCTTTGCATAAATGAGCATATTAATGCAAAATTGTGTACAAAAACATATATATTAGAAGAAATTCACACTGAAATCCTGAGATTCTCATGAGGACTTAAAAAAGAAACTGATGTGGAAAAATGAGAAACTTTGAGAAACTGAAATTGACAGCTGTCTCCATGCCTAGCCCTAACCAACAGAAGATGACAAAGTTGCCAACTGCCCACTAGGTTCTAATCTGACCAACAGGCCTAGTATGCCTTCAAGGGGAATATGACAGGCAGAAATTTGAGCTGTATATCTCCCTCTCCCTCAGGTTTGAGATGTGGTGATTTGGAAAGCTGTGCCTTATAGAATTCCAGTCTCACAATTCAGCAAAAAGTCAGGAAACCCAGAGAACAAATGACAATACTCTTACTTTTCATTCCAGTAGGCTAAATTTCAGCCACTTAAAAGTTCAAGAGGTTTCTGCACACACAACACATCTCTGTGTCCTCTATCTGGACTTGCAAGAGGCATTATCAAAGTTCAGAGATACTGTACATTCCTGCCAGGCAAAAGCACCACGAGGACCTGGAGCAGGGCTGGTGAGGGGTGTGGCCTAAGGGGAAGAGGTGTGGCCTGGGAAAAGTTCAAAGGGCTAGAGACCTGTACAGTGGTACCTCTGGTTGCGAACGGGATCCGTTCCGGAGCCCCGTTCGCAACCTGAGAGGAACGCAACCCATGTCTGCGCATGCCGTGATTCGTCGCTTCTGTGCATGCGTGTAATGTCATTTTGAGCGTCTGTGCATGCGCGAGTGGCGAAACCCAGAAGTAACCCGTTCCGTTACTTCTGTGTCGCCGTGGGATGCAACCTGAAAAGATTTAACCTGAAGCGTCTTTAACCCGAGGTATGACTGTACTGTCACATTTGGCCCCTTGACCTGAGACTCCTCATTGCTATATTAGGGAATAAGTCCTACTGAACTCAGTCAAACTTATTTCTGAGTAGAGCATAGGTTTGTGCAGCATGCGCTATAATGTAAGTATGCATCCACTGGCGGAGGAATGGGGAGAGGGAAGCGCCCACAGCGGCACGATCCTGGGGGGGTGCCATCGTGGCTGCCCCCCCCCCGTGCTGGGCGCCTCCCGCAGGCGATGTGCCGCACCCCCAGGATGCATGTCACGCCCCTGTGGGCAGCGCACCATGCCCCCAGGACATGCGCCACGCCCCTGTGGGCAGCGTGCCACGCCGCCAGGATGCACGCCACGCCCCCGCCTGCACTCCACCCCTGCCCCCCTGCCACTGTATACATCTCTTGTTTTTTGTGGTATTTTGGGGTTTTGGTTTTTTTTCACATTAAAAAATGGGTTCCTGCGTACTCAGCGTGGGTTGACCATGTTTTTCCTGTGGCGTTTAAAGAGCATTTTCATGTCTGAAAATACTTGGTAGAAACATCTCCCAAGAGCTTTGATCCCTTATGAATGGATGTGCAAATTCCCATCAAATACGACATTACAGGAGAAGACGCGGTTGATTTAGAGTTTCAGTGTAATGTGTGGAAATGGCCAGCTTTCTCTAGATTATGTTCCATGGTTTCAAATTCAGTATAATATTATTTTGCACGGCTGAAGCGTTTCTGATTTTGCTTTGTGGATCCAAAGGTGAAAATCGTTTGGTCGGTGATCACGTGATAGTAGACATCAAAGGAACTAGTTTATTCATATTTACTTGAAAAAATATATACAAAAGGTAAAGAGGACTGGGTTTTGTTTTTTTACACAGGACCAACTGCCCCTGTAAATACAGCTTCCTGGATGAGAGCAAGAGGCTGGTGCCCCGAAGGGATGTTCCAGCCTATCCCAAGGTACACTGCAGCACATAAGAGTTCAAAATTCTGTTTTACAGAGGAGATAATCACGTTAGTTAAAAATATCTTTTCCATCCCTTGTTTATTATGAGAACATTTTCTACTCAAATGCTACCTAGATTTTCTTCATAAAATCTCTTATTAAACTTTCCATTTTCTTTGCTACAGGTGATTGTTAGATTCCATTGCTCCCATGCTGATATAAAATATTTAAATCAACAAATTATTATTCTTTTATTATTATTTGTTAAATTTGTATACTGCCTTTCATTCAAAGATTTTAGGGCCATTCGCAGCATCAAATGCAGAATAAAACATAACAAAAACAAAACTTTCCCATCACCCCCACCCACAAACACTTTTAAAGGGACAAATCAATTACAAGTCACATATCTATGAAGGAAGGTCCCCTGATTTATTTATTTTTTAAAAAAATATGTTGAGTTCCTATTCCAAGTAGTATGTTTGGGCTAATAGATGCTCAATGGGGTACGTTTCACCATACTTTGAAGTGGCAAGGAGACACACACTTGCTATTTTATTTTTAGAACTGAGGCACTTGAAAGACACATTTAGCATCACATCTTGCTTGGCCCTGATGCTATGTTTTTCAAGCTCCTTGTAATTACTTCATGGTGAGGGGAAGGACCAACGGTGCAGTGTCGGTTGTCAGTGCCTAGGGTGGGTGCAGGTGTGTACGGTTTGTGGGCTGGGGGGGCAGCCCAACCCTTGCTGCCACCAGAGTGACCCCACCCCCACTGGAGCAAAGTGGGGTCATCCTGAGTCGCCTGTGCAGAGGGAGAGCATGCCCAGTCGATGCAGCCCTTGGTGGACAGAGATGAGCCCTGGACCAGGCTGTGCTAGGACATCTGGTTCATTCCCCCACAAAAATTGTGCACCTGGAACCATAGCCCCCCTATACCCCCCACACTAAGTCCCTGGGACAGACAGTGCAAAACCTCAAAGACACTGCTATAATTCATATATTTGGGGGTTCTTGCCTGAACTACACCCTCAGTTAGCTCTGGTTCAAATGAAATCCTATACAGAGGGTAAGTTAGTTACTTACTTATTGAATTAATTGAGCTGAGTCATGAAGATGGGTGACCTACAAGAGAAAATATGAAGCGGGTGTTGTTGAGAATCGTATTTCATAACAATGCCTCATTTTCTCTGCAGTACATGCTTTCTCAGGAGACAATAGAAGCTCTTCGGAAACCAACCTTTGACGTCTGGCTATGGGAGCCCAATGAGGTAATGCTGCCCCATGGAGACAGATTCCTGGTCCCTCCTTTCTGTAAATGTTTGTTCTGTGGGACTCTTATGAGCATTTGAGAATTGGAACCTAGACATGGTTGTGTTACAGAAACCAGAATGAAAATGTACAGATAAATACAAAGTGCTCTTCAAATAAATGAAAACTCTAAGAAGGCTTAGTCTATAAATAAATGCAACCTTAAAAATGTTAAGTACTGGAACTAATCAAAGCAGCGAAGCATGTTAAAAGTACCATAATGTGAGTAGACACCTACTGTATCTCAAAACCAGGTCCATTCACATAATAAACAATAGGTAAAGCAGGAATTTCTCCAGACAGCAGATAAGCAAAAAGCACAATTTACTAATCGGATCAGAGTTTTTTTACCTTAATGTGGCTCAACTAAGAATTCTATAACAGAGGTCTTTCCCATTATCGTTTGTACTTTGAAGTATACTTGGTTTTGAGAATGTCTTTTCACCCAAAAGCCTTTCTGTAGCTAATTATGGACTACAAGAAAGTGACTCACTTTGCAAATGAAAGGGGAAATCTGATTTATACTAATTTGAATAAAAAGTTAGCTTCAGGCAATCAATGAAAATGAAAAGTCTGTATATTATTTTCACTGTATTTTATTTTTAAGGCTTGCTAGATTAGTGCCGTTTGCCTTATTTGTTGTTGTGTTTCTAACCAGAATGACTCTGTAATGAATTTACAAAAGGAGCTATTCTGGCTAATCATCAGAATGCAAACAACTCATGGAAAAGTGGAATGTGCAACATATTTTCATTTTTAAGATCTGCAAAACCGATGTAGCAGCTTCATCATATTTGTTCATGTCTTTATAATTGCCATGAGTTTGCACGAGGATCAGTTTGCTATGACAATTCTCCTGTGACAATTTTAGTTAAACAAAGCTGTCTCTCTTTTTTATGACATCTTTTCCAAAATAGTTGGGGGAGGGGACTTTTAGATACAAACAGAAAACAGAAAAAAGCTTTTTCTTAGATTGTCTTATTGGTGGTACAGACAGCAAATCACAACATATGTCATCTTTATGCTCAGGAGCAGTTGCATAAACATATCCAGAGTTGGATATGTTCACCTTTTTGTTTTATTTGCGGTTTATATGAGGTGTTTCAATTCACGTTGCCACTTTCCCAGGTTTGTGTGGTGCATTTTTAATAGTGTTATAAATCACAACCCTGTTGTATCATTACAATGCAAAGCAAGAACACAACAGCCTTCCGTAAAGTGTCTTTAGAATTAGCCCTTTGCATTCTACCCCCCTCTGGCCCTCCTAATGTGGCATGTTAAAGGACAAAAATATAGTAGTGTTGCCTGTGATGGACTGCAGGGAAGGAGATGTACTTTCAGCTCAAATGCTGGCTCACCAGAATTCAGCACTGAAAAAAAGAAAGACATGGCCTATGTTTGTTGTCTTAATATAGTTTTTTCCTTGTGTATGTGCTGGTCTGTGCAGCTACACAGCTATGTTTGCTGCATGGAGAATGCAAGGTTAAAGAAGCTACAGGAAGACATTCAGGTATTAGGCAAGGCTTGCCTTAGAACGCTTGTTGCCAACTGCTGTTATCTCTGCTGCTGTTCTTCTTTGCACTTACAGCAGTTGCAGAGAACCTTTCGCCCTCCAGATGTTGCTGACCTACAACTCTCCTCAGCCCTAGCAAGCATGGGCAGTGCCTCGGGATAGTGGGAGTTGTAGTTCAGCAATATCTGGAGGCCCAAAGGTTCCCCTCACCTGACTTACTGAGTGTGATTCAAAGTCTTCATAGAATTTGCCATGGATTAATGAGCAAAATGAATTATAGGTTTTTATTTCATGTAGCAAGTGATTGGGTTGGACATCTTGGTCCTTCGGTCACAAATGAAGCTAAAGTAGGAATTGCTCAGTCTGCAGAACATGAGACTCTTAATCTCAAGGTTGTGGGTTTTACCATGTTGGGCAAAAGATTTCTGCATTGCAGGGGGTTAGACAAGTTGACTTTCATGGTCCCTTCCATATGTACTATTCTATTATTCTCTTCCATTAAAAATAAGAAATAGTCTTGCCTCAGTTTTTTATAGATATGAGATTGTATCCACTGTAATGGTTAGATTTCATTCCTAAGGGCTTTGGGTGAACAATGTATTGTTATGTTTTTAAACCTCAGTTTTTGGCCTCAGAGATAATGAAATTATCTAAATTCAGCATTCTAGATGAATTCAGCAGTGCTTTTAAGTCACAGACTTAAGTGTCTGATGTGTTTGTGATGTACACTAGTGAAAATAATGTAATAATAGGAGAATTCTTTCTTTTCTCCTCCAGATGCTGAGTTGTTTAGAACATATGTATCATGATTTAGGATTAGTGAAAGACTTTAACATCAACCCTATCACATTGAAGCGATGGCTGGTAAGATTTAAAGAGCAACTTGTATGGGATTTAAAATATTTGTGATTTTTTTAAAATGGGCATATAGTCTCATATATTCAAAGATTTTAAAAAAAATGTGTAAGCAGAGTATAACGAGCACTTGTCCAACACATAAAGTATATAGAATACATATTATTCTTAGAACAAAAGGATTGCCATTCTGACACCATCCAATACTGACATCAGTCAATCCCTTCTTTAAACAAAAAACTTAAATAAGCAACCCAATCAACAGTTGTATCCAAATTAAAATGCCTGGTATCAAGTGGCAACATTTATTATTAGTATCAACAATAACAACAACAAGAAGAAGCTTGTCATCAAAAGTATGACTTGTTTATCTGAAATGTCTCATATGCCATCAATTTGCATCACTTTTGCTTTGAGCTGTATCCATTAATTAAACTTAGCTTGCATTCGCAACAACATCCAAATGAGCTGAAAAATCATTCAACAATTATACTACCTAATGAGCAACTTTATAAAGATAAAAAATAATACCTGCCTGCGCCCTGTCTCACCAGAGTGGTGCATGCTCTGGTTCTCTCTCGCTTGGACTACTGCAACACGCTCTACGTGGGGCTACCTTTGAAGGTGACTCAGAAACTACAACTAATCCAGAATGCGGCAGCTAGACTGGTGACTAGGAGTGGCTGCTGAGACCATATAATGCTGGTCCTGAAAGACCTACATTGGCTCCCAGTACGTTTCCGAGCACAATTCAAAGTGTTTGTGCTGACCTTTAAAGCAGTAAATGGCCTCGGTCCAGTATACCTGAAGGAGCGTCTCCACCCCCATTGTTCTGTAACCAACAAAGTTGTGGCCTTAATTCACCTAAAATACTGGTGCTGTCCGTGTGTCTCATTATTCAGAAAATGGGGGAGGGCTCGGGCCCTTGACACACAATGTCATGGAAAGGAACAAAACGCGTGCACAAGTTGGTCTTTTCATCAATATTTTAACTCTTTACCTACATGGTGGAGGTCACAGTGCCAATGGGAGGGGGAGTGTCCAAAACTGAGAAAAACAAAAAAGTGAGCACAGCAGCAACAGGGGAGAGGGGAGAAGAAAAAATAAGAGGAAGAGTCAACCCTCTCCTTATTTCTGCAGTGCCCAGTTATCTTATTAGCATGGTATGGGCTTGTAAAGCACAGATTCCAAGGGCTATAGTGTTGGTTGGGAGGATTACCGGTAAATGCCAAATGCTTGTTTTCCTTATAAATGTCTCCCTTTTTGTTTTTAGCTGTGTATTCATGACAATTACAGAAACAATCCATTCCATAATTTTCGACATTGCTTCTGCGTTACCCAGATGATGTACAGCATGATCTCTCTCTGCAGTCTCCAGGTGTGTCTTTCTCTGGCTGCATTGGCTTTCTCTCTCTCTAGTCCTCCTCCCCCCCCACACACACACACATTGTGAAATCAATAGTCTTCTGCCTATAATAATGTATTTTATCCAGAAGTGATGGTTGTTGATTATTGAAAGACATGTAGTTGTGCCAGGGAAACCACCATTTTTAATCTGTTGGCATTTGAGAGGACAACCAAAGGGTGAATGAAATGAGTTGGGATAGCTCAGTAGGTAGAGCATGGGACTCTTAATTACAGGGTCATGGGTTCGAGCCTCATTTTGGGCAAAAGATTCCTGCATTGCAGGGGATTGGACCAGATGGCCTTCATGGTCCTTTCCACCCTACAATTCTATGAACTGAAACATAGATAGAAATCTTGGCAAGTTCAGGAGTTCCTGAATATGTAAACCTGGACTGCTCCATGAGAGGTTGTAGGCCCACAGCATACAGTATTTTTCGCTCTATAACACGCACCTGACCATAACACGCACATCATTTTTAGAGGAGGAAAACAAGGGAAAAAACATTCTGAATGAAACAGTGGATGTATCATTTTTGTGCTTCATGCTGTGGCCACAGACATGTGATCTGATGGTGAATTTGGGGTGACCCAATGCAAAAATCCTGAGAATCCCTGTGGATCCATGCTTTGTAACCACATTTTTGCACCATTGCAGCCCCAGGCAACAGTGGGTGTGTGATTTTGGGGGGGGCAGGCTGTAGCCATGGACATGCTATGTGCTCTGATGGTGAATTTGGGGTGACCCAATGCAAAGATCCTGAGGATCCATGTGGATCCATGTTTTGTAACTACGTTTTTGCACCATTGCAGCCCCAGGCAACAGTGGGTGTGTGATTTTTGGGGGGCAGGCTGTAGCCATGGACATGCTATGTGCTCTGATGGTGAATTTGGGCTGACCCAATGCAAAGATCCTGAGGATCCATGTGGATCCATGTTTTGTAACTACGTTTTTGCACCATTACAGCCCCAGGCAACAGTGGGTGTGTGATTTTTGGGGGGCAGGCTGTAGCCATGGACATGCTATGTGCTCTGATGGTGAATTTGGGCTGACCCAATGCAAAGATCCTGAGGATCCATGTGGATCCATGTTTTGTAACCACGTTTTTGCACCATTGCAGCCCCAGGCAACAGTGGGTGCGTGATTTTTGGGGGGCAGGCTGTAGCCATGGACATGCTATGTGCTCTGATGGTGAATTTGGGGTGACCCAATGCAAAGATCCTGAGGGTCCATGTGGATCCATGCTTTTTGACCACATTTTAAGTGGGGAGGGAAGGAAAAACACAGAATGGACAAGGAGCACGAGAGGGGTGTGCAGAGAAGCAGCTGGCTAAGAATGCAGGAGAGGGGTATAACGGGAGGGAGGAAAGGAAGGCAAAAGTTTTCCCTCACCTACCCACCCAAGCCAGCCAGCTCGCTCTCTCTCTCTCTCTCTCTCTCCCTCCTGCATGTTTTCAGCACTCTGCTTTCCCCTCTGCTTGCCTGGAGGGGAGGGGCTTTCCCTGCTCTTTGTCCCGTTTGAGCAAACACAGCAAGGAAACAGAGATGGGTGGGCAGTAAGACCCTGAGGCAGAATGCAGGAAAGCAGCCGCTTCCTCTTTTCAGGTTTCCCTTCTCCGAGACGCGCAATTTGATTTTTGCCTGCTTTTTTTTGCCATTTGGCTCCAGGGACCACACATTCGCTCAATAACACGCACAGACATTTCCCCTTCCTTTTTAGGAGAAAAAATCTGCGTGTTATAGAGGGAAAAATACGGTAATTCTGATTGGGCTCCACACCTTACTGAAGCTCCCACCAGTTTTGAAATACATTTAACTCAGTGGTTCCCAACCTTTTTTTTTGGCCATGCCCCACCTAAGCATCTCTAAAATCCTGATGCCCAGCCCCTGTGAACTCCTATTCAGGTGGGGGAAGCCTAAAACGCCATTCACTGTCATTCTCAAATTGCCCCCCTGTGGGGAGTGTGCCCCACCTTGGGAACCACGGATTTAACTAGATGATACCCCAAATACATGATTGCATTGTATGTTGAGAGAGAGAGAGAGATTTTTAAAATGGCAGCAGTAGTGGACCCTGATCCAGATCAGAACCATGGCATGGGAGAGGGGGATTAACTCCTGCCCTGTGCCATTTTTCCCAATGAACACCGCCCCCTAACCACTGCTTGTGCCCATAGCTGTTAACTCCCAAGGCAAATAGCATAATCAATCCCATTACACTGTCCAACTCAGAATCAGGGCTTCCTGCAGCTGCTTTTTTTAAAATGACAATACTATATGGCATATTTAACTTATCTATCTTGGCTTCCTCTTCCATCCAGCTTCAGTGTGGACAAAGTGCCTTAACTTCTTCTTGCACCTAAGTCGGAGGAAGGGATACCAAGGCGGTACTTCTGCCCTTGCTGAAGTTGGTAGGAAGGTAAAGGCAAGGAACTTTGGCCTTCATGTTGTCCTCCCCTGTACAGCAAAACTGGCAGTGGTGTCTAGCTAGTGACGATCCAAACCTGAACAGCTTGACTGTGGGTGGTTTTTCTCCTCCCTCCCTAGTTACACACAATATTAGGAAACTGGCCCTTGCTAATAAAAGCAATATTTGGGTTCTTACCTCTGCTGGGTGGAGGTCAAATTTTCATAAACAGATTAAGTGGGCTATAATCAAGACAACCAACAGCAGTCTGTGGCTAAAATCAACTGGCATTATTTATTCAAGTAGGCCCTGGTTGTTATCCCAAGCAAAGAATAGACCCTAAGCCTTTATTCTTCACACTTCTCTTCCAAGCTCAAGTAGTGCATGAAATGCCCAAATAAATAGCTTTTTATAATTGACACAAATCTTGGCATAATTTCTTACAAGATGAGAAACCTTTGACTTTAAATTAATTTTATCCACTGTTGAGCAAACTCCAATTTCTCTATTCCATCCTGTTGTTAATTATGCATCAGAGGCAGGGTTGACGACTTCACTGTTGTCGTCATTATAGATTTAGTCTAAGTTATTAAACTGTGCGCTGAACCCTAGTTAGAACCGCACATTTTGAAATGTTATATATGGTTTCTTTATTATAAAAGCTGTTTGAATTAATGAGCTGCATTTTCTTCTTCTTCCTGCTTAGGTAAAGCTTTCTCAAATGGATATCTTAATACTAATGACTGCATCAGTGTGTCATGATCTGGATCACCCAGGATATAACAACACGTATGTATCCTTTTTGTGTGTGAGAAGAATGATTAGGAATGTAAAGTACTAGCAGGAAGTGTCCGGTGCTGCCCAGGATAGTGTAATTTGTGAGTTTGGGCCCATCACACACAAAAATTGGCAGAGTCACGCCATCTTTGCCCAACATCAAAACATCAATGAAGACTGCTGCACCCACTTCATGAATTCTCATGTCATATTTGACAGTGATGTTATAAAGAGGTGGCTGAACCTATAAATAACAGGTGGACAGACAGACAAACCACTTTCCAAAATTTATAGTAGATATTCGGGCAAATGCAGACCAAAAATAAAACCTGAGAAATTTATTTTGGCATAAACTTTCCTGAGGTAGAGCTACCTTTGACATGCACCTGACCGGGTGGGCTCTGGATCAGAAAAGCTTATGCCACACATTGTTTATGTTTTTAAGGGTACCACACAAAACCCTCCAAGGTTTTGTTACAAGAACAGACTAACACGACTATCCCTTTGGAATTTGTCTCATTTAAAAAAGTCTTCACTTGGATGTGGGAGAGGCTCTCACATCTAGGAGTTCAGAATCCCACAAATTTCAAAATGCCTTCAAACTACAGATGAGCACCTTCCCTTTGGGCAGATTGTGCATTTCTTTCTATGTGTTTCCTTCACACCAGGTACCAAATTAATGCACGGACGGAGCTTGCTGTGCGCTACAATGACATTTCCCCGCTGGAGAACCATCACTGTGCTGTGGCTTTCCAGATCCTTGCGCAGCCAGAATGCAACATTTTGTCCCATGTTGATAAGGAGCAGTTCAAACGGATTAGGCAGGTATGGGTCAGAAAGATGTGGCAAAGTTCCTGTCAATGGGTATTAGTGTCAGAGAGCATCTGCTAATGAAATGCCTGGGCTCAGTCATGAGACATGTGGAGAAAACGTAAAGTACAGTGGTACCTCGGGTTACAAACTTAATTCAATCCAGAGGTCCATTCTCAACCTGAAACCGTTCTTAACCTGAGGCGCGCTTTCACTAATGGGGCCTCCCGCTGCTGCCGTGCCGCCAGCGCACGATTTCCGTTCTCATCCTGGGGCAAAGTTTGTAACCCAAGGTACTACTTCCAGGTTAGCAGAGTTTGTAACCCAAAGGTTTGTAATCCGAAGTCTTTGTAACTTGAAGTGTTTGTAACCCGAGGTAGCACTGTATAGAGTGCCTATGAGCTTGTCCAGAGTGATTGCCACCATTCAAAACCTTTACATCCAGACCCCCAAAATCTATAATTAGCTCAAATTGATAGGCAGTCTTAAACCTTAGCATCTCTTATTTTAGAAATTAAGCATTGGTTGTGGTTTGAGAAAATAAGCCAAACCTGGTGAAATAAGCACCTCCCATATCATGGTCACAAACTGCTCTTTTATATTGTGGTGTTCTGGTGTTCTTGTTTTGATTCTTTAAAAAAAATGTACTTATAACTTTCTGTAAAGCTCTAAGAACCTGTTGAAGGTCAGGATATAAATAAAATAAAGGACGCGGGTAGCACTGTGGTCTAAATCACTGAGCCTCTTTGGCTTGCCGATTGGAAGGTCAGCAGTTCAAATTCGTGTCACAGGGTGAGATCCCATTGCTTTCTCCCAGCTTCTACCAACCTAGGCATTTGAAAGCACACCAGTGCAAGTAGATAAATAGGTACCGCTGCAGCGGGAAGGTAAACAGCGTTTCCATGCACTCTGGTTTCCGTCACAGTGTCCTGTTACGATAGAAGCAGTTTAGTCTTGCTGGCCACATGACCCAGAAAGCTGTCTGTGGACAAACACCAGCTCCCTCGGCCTCAAAGCGAGATGAGCGCCACACCCCATAATTGCCTTTGACTGGACTTAACTGTCCAGGGGTCCTTTACCTTTTATCTATAAATAAAATAAATATCTTTCCCCACCAATTTGAATATCGCATGTGCCTTGATCAAGTTGCCTAAGAACACTGATACGTTTTTTCAGTGTTGCAGCTCTTGGTTTTAAACACCAAATGTTTTCATTTTTGTAAAAGCAACCTTGGGACTCCCAATTCTGAATCAGGGGCATAGTAAGGAAGGTCATATCTTTCCCTCCTTGCACCTTGGCCCCAGTCTAGAACACACACCGTAGCTATTAGCTATGGGGAAGGAAACTTAAAAGCTTGACAAATTAAGCCCGCAGGTTTCCCATGGTGTGGCTAAGAGCAGTTCTAGGGAGCATCTGAACTGAGGCTTCTCAGTGTGCCTCTCCTTTCCAAAAGACAAAACAAATGTGCAGCTTGGTTTTTATCTCTAGAGTTTTTTCCTGCTCCCCAGCATCTTCCCAGAGTCCAAAAAAAAAAAGAAGTGTGAGAACTTGGTACAAAACTGTTAAATGGGTAAATTGTTGGAGTGGAGGGGAAGCATAGGTGAGGTAGTAGCATTTCTACCTTAAGAAATATAAACGTCTTACAATATCGTTGGTTGGTTTGTTTCCCATAGGGGATAATTACATTAATCCTAGCAACAGACATGGCAAGGCACGCTGAAATTTTGGACGCTTTCAAAGAAATACTGGACAAGTTTGACTATTCAAATGAGGAGCACGTGACCCAGGTAAGACAATATTCTCTGTTTTCAGATGTTAAAGGGGGGGACAGGAACAACAGCCTGAGTCAAACAATGCCAGTGTGGAGGCACCAATGTGGGGGTGTCACAGGACATGTCATGAGCAGGAGTAGAAGCTGAAAGTGCAGCACAAATACAGTACAAATGCACTTTAATAGCAAGAACAGCTTATTGCTGTGTACAACCACAGCTGGAGGTGCCCTTATTTTCAGTGCTGACATCTCACTGAGAAATGAAGGAAACATTGCCCGGTAATAAGTGCAGGTAAACATGGCAGATTTCTTACCACACTGTAAAATGCTCTCCTCCTTTCAGCTAAAGATGGTCCTGATCAAATGCTGTGATATCTCCAATGAAGTTCGCCCAATGGAAGTGGCAGAGCCATGGGTAGACTGCTTATTAGAGGAGTATTTTATGCAGGTAAGGGTACACCCAGTGGAACTGCCATTGTAGTTCATGTTTCAATACAACAGAGCTGGAAGTTATCCAGTAACAATGCCTGACTTTCTAGGTCCACCAAGATGAAAGACCCTTTCTCAGCAGGGTCTTGAAAGTGTGTCATTCTGATGATGTACTTTGAATAAAAGTGACTGTAATTGACTGTAATTTGTAGCCTAAAAGGGCAATCACAGCCCAGAAATGCAAATGTTAGCAGATTGCTGCCTGTTTTCTCTAACAGGGCTGTTTTTAGGAGTTAACTCAGCATGTAAACCATTTTGAAACCAAACAGGGACAAGGACTTTGTAGAAAATGTCAGCTAAATAAGCAGCACCATGTAGGTTAAGTTTGGATTATTTATATCTGTGACTTTGAACCATTCATGACTAAGCCTATTAGAACTGAAAAGTTGGGTGTTTTTTAAGAGAAAGGCTAAAAGAAAAAGAAAGAAAGCGCTGTGATCATTTCAAAAGGACAATCTCATTAGTGTTGGAAAAAAGCGCCTTATGGTGCCACATCGTTGTCATTTCTTACCGGATTTCATTTGGAGATGACTGCAGGAAGTAACAAAAAAAGTAGCAGTCCACTTGCCCTCTCAAATCCGTCAACACGATGTGTATATACAAGTTGTGGCAGTTGGCATCACACCAAGTAAGGCTTGATCGTGATAGGCAGCACAAAAAGGCAGTTCTATTATTTCTTGATTTAACATGTTCCCAGTGTGGAAAATTTAAAATACAGCCAAAAAGCCATTGAATAATAGCAGAAAGAGCAAAAGATGAAAGAATGTTCAGTTTGCCCTTCATTCATTTGCAGAGCAATCCTACACTGTGTTCAGTGGGCCTTATTTCCAGATAAGTGTGTTTAGGGTGCACATAATCTTCCCTGCTGAGAACCCCCAGAAGATGTCTCTGCCACCCTCCCACTTTTTTTCTAATGCCCCAAATTTCTGTAGGTCTGAAAATCTTTCGGCTGCATCTTTCAAATATAAAAAATCTTTAAAATAATACAGCATAAACAGGTCACACATAATAACCAATTATATCATTCCAAATTGGATAAATATTGACCATTGCTTTGAATTTGCTTAATGTATTGCTACACTTTGTCCTAGAGTGACCGGGAAAAGTCAGAAGGCCTTCCAGTGGCCCCTTTCATGGACCGAGACAAAGTGACCAAACCTACAGCACAGATAGGCTTCCTGAAGTTTGTTCTTATCCCAATGTTTGAAACTGTAACAAAGGTAAGGTCAAATAAGTTGATTGATCAAAAGCCCTTGGATCAAGTGCATTTTCTCATAGCTGTGTGTGTGTGTGTGTGTGTGTGTGTGTGTGTGTGGTTACTAACATTCCAGGCTTTTAATAACTCATTTATTCAATGCTAGCATGCTTAATTTTTCTCATTTCAAAACACATAGTTATTGGAAACCAATTTTAGTTTAGCTTTCTTGCTTTGTTTTAGCTTTTTCCAGAGGTTGAAGAAGTATTGCTCCAACCACTTTGGGAATCCAGGGATCGCTATGAGGAGCTGAAGCAAATAGAGGATGCTGTGAAAGAGGTAAGGCAAGCTTCGGTTTGTGGGATTAACAAGGACAACTGCAGAGGCTGAAAAGGCAACACCCAGACTCCCTTAGATGAATCAGGATTTTGAGGTTTTGCTTGCAAGAATTCTCCTAATACAACACATTTTTATATGCCATTTTCACAAATATATGCATTTTTGCACATACTTGCCCAACTATATGCATTTTTGTGTGCATTATTTGTTTCAAGAAATGCTATACAAAATTCATGTAAGTGCAAATTTTATAGAAGTGCAAATTTTGAAGGATAGCTGTGCTTCAGTCACATATTGTTCACACTGGCAGGTTTGCATTAAATCCTAACCAAATCAAATTTCTTCCCATCCCTACGTCCAAATAAGTATGTAGGAGTACAGCCTTAATAGTAAGTTGAGGAACAGGTCTAATGTAATGGGAACTTTTGAACCAAAGGGTATAGCTGATTCTGGCTGTGAATACACCACAGAACACGAGAAGCTTTTCTAGCTTCACTTACAACTGTGCTTGATAAGACAGGCTTTGTGATTTTCACGCTGAAGCAAAGATTCCTACATTCTTATGTGTAATGCTATAATGCCCTCTGGAAGGAAGCCCCCACAGGTTCCCTTCGATGCCAATAAAACAGGGATGTACAAATTTCATGAATTAATTGGTTCATTTAAGCATAGTAGCATAGCACTTCTGGTAATAAGGCAACTAATAGGAAAATGATGCATGCAAAGCAGAACACATGCCGAGCAAATTATAGCTCTCCTTTGTCAAGTGCTTGTGGCTCCTGCTGAGGCAGTCAAATGGCCTTTGGCTCGCAGTGGCAAAGAATGAAGACAGAGTAGTCCTTCTGAGTGGCAGAGGGTAAGCTAGCCACTGACAGACAAGCCTGCTTTTAGTTTTTCAGCATTGGCCCCAAATGATGCCCAATGTTTCATCTTGTAATCTTTTCACTATGGGCTTTTCATTCTCCTAGCTTTATTGATCTGGCTTCATTCCAAGTTAGATTTTTATAGCGATCATGTTCCATTTCTTTCCATCTCACGAGAGCTCCATGAGATCTTACCAGAAGGTACTGCCACACAACTCCAGTAAGGCTTCAGCAGTGGGGCAGGAAACAGGGGCAGCAGCTTCCCGTTTTGCCTCGGGTAGAAGAGTTTGGATTTGATATCCTGCTTTATCACTACCCTAAGGAGTCTCAAAGCAGCTAACAATCTCTTTTTCCCTTCCTCCCCCACAACAAACACTCTGTGAGGTGAGTGGGGCTGAGAGACTTCAAAGAAGTGTGACTAGCCCAAGGTTACCCAGCAGCTGCATGTGGAGGAGCGGAGATGGGAACCCGGTTCCCCAGATTACGAGACTACCGCTCTTAACCACTACACCACACTGGCTCCCTTGGGTGGCAAAACGGGATGGGCCACCCCTACTCAAAAGGCAGCTCACACTCTCATGCATTCCCCACTGGTGCCTGCGTGTGTTGGGTTCCCAGAGGAAACTAACAACCAGAGAGAAAAATAATGGTTCCTGTACACCCACCACTGATGCTGCAGATCCTATGGGGCACATTGTAAGGAAACTCCACTGAAACGAACAGATTTCATGCACTGATGATCATATTCGCGGGGTTCTGCCAATGACTCGGTGGCTGCTATATTGACAAATCAGATGCCTCATGACTGCCATTGCTAATTATTCCATTCTACTCTTAACTAGTTACAGAAGAAGAAGAACGAAAGTTTGGCAATTGGAAGCAAGGAGAAGTGAAAAGCAAAGGCAAGGCACATCAGGGTAATTATCCCTCTTTAAAGGATACTTTCACATTAAGAAACATGGTGACAACATTTAAAACATTATATAGAAAATTGCCAGTGGCATGAGGTGTTTTCAGCAAAAAATTTGATTAAATCCAGCTAATTTCTCTGCAATATATTGAACATATGCTTGTGAAAAACAAAATAAAATAGAATTGTAATGCATTTTTGACCAACTATTTATACAATATAAAACCAGTAATGAAAAGCAGAGAGAGAGAGCACGCTCTCGAGTTGTTAGGAGAGTCCTAGTCCCCTTACAGAACTACAATTTCCAGAGTTCCCTAAGAAAAGGGATTGATTGTTAAAGCACTCTGAGAATTGTAACCCCATGAGGCAAATAAAGGTCTCTCAACAACTTCCAGCAGCCTTAACAAACTACAGCTTCCATAATTCCCTGTGGGGAGCTATGGCTCTTTAAAGTGGTCTCTTAGTGCTTTAAATGTATGGTGTAAATGTGGCCAAATAGGGATTACCACAGTTGCTGTGCGTATGGCTTAAAAGGTGTGCTGAATCAGCACGTCTGAGCCCTGCCAAAAATTATTCTGAGTGGATGATACCTCATTCTTTGGGCCTAACAATGTTTGTATTTTAATTCCAGCATTATAATGGACACAAAGATCCTTTAGAGGTTTGCCAAGTCTAGCTAAGCATCATGGGATTACACAGCACTGACGGAGGATGAGACTGAACAGCTGACACTGCCACAAGCACTTTTTCCAAGTTCCTTTTTTATATAAAAAAAGAACCCTAGTATTTATCCTTATGGATGCAGACAATAAGGAATGTCTGCTGTTGTACATTTTTTTAAAGAAAAAGTAATCTTCTAAATAATATATTCTTATACCAAAAAATGGCTGCTGTAATTATTCTCTTTTTAAGATTTTATATGTCTTCTTCTTTTTTTTAACTGCTTCTGGTTGTCATATGGAGATGTATTGGGGAAAATTGTACTTTTTAAGCGAGTTGTTTTAGAAATCTTTTAAAATGTAGTTTTGTGTAGCGTTAAAGTAACAACAATTTATCTCAATATGTCTGTGTACGATTTAGAAGTGTCACCTTGCCGAGGGATTTGACAAAACCAATAGCAAGCTGAGAAGCTTAATGTTCTCTTCTCTGGTCAGCAACTATTGGCCAGGAAAACCCTTCAGGAGGGAGGGCGAAATGATAGCCCAGTCCCTCAGCCCTGCCGCCCTAGTCCCTCTCTGCATATGCTGTTCCCCCTTTTGTTTTTGGATCAGTAACTGAGGAGTACAGATGATGGTCCTTTAGAGAGACAAATATGGCCTACAGGTTTCCAGTTACCTTATCCCTGAGCACTGAGAGAATGGAAAAGGCCCCCAAGTATGTTATGAACATGAAGCAGTTCCTGTTGCCAAAGCTTGACAGGTCTAGCACTGTAAACTGCTTGGATAGGAACTCAAATTTCAGACGAACCAGAACTAAGCTAATCTGTGTTCCTTCTTGGAAGAGTGGAGTGATATTTTCACAAGTTTTTTTTTATTTTACTTTATTTACATTTCCTGCATCATGTTCTGGTTTAATGAATGGGGCATCTCAACTAATCAGCTAACCGAAAACTCTGATAAACTGACATTATATTTGCCTACACATACATTGGCAAGAATCTAGTCTAGATTTGACTAGATGCTATGTACAACTGAGATTTGTTTAATGGCTCTATAATTATTATATTTTTCTGTGGAGAATATACCATACACCCAGTGCCTGAGAAGGGTCTGTGATGGTGAAGGACTACTGGCATGTGTTTTCCATGCTTACAGTTTGAGATTCAGTCTCTGAAACCTCCACAATTAGAAGCGTTTTGAGATGTAGAGCTAGGAAAAACTTTTGCATGTGGCCTTCAAGACCTACTTGGGCAGATTAATACAGCACTTAAATTCACATGGCAGCTTTTATTGGACAAAAGCTGGCAGCCATTTTGTTTGGATGGGAATTGCTAAAGTTAATGCTGACAGTGTGCCCTTTTAATACTGAACAATGAGAGTTTGGGAACAACGTATCCAATTGAAATGGGCATGGGTTGTTGCTCCCAGGTTACAGAAAGGAACGTTGGGCATGAAGAAACTACAGTGGTACCTCAGTTTAAGAACTGTCCTGTTTACAAACGATTCGGTTTACGAACTCTGCAAAACCGGAAATAGTGTCCAGGTTTGCGAGCTTTACCTCAGTCTAAGAACGGAATCCGAACGGTGGAAGGGCACCAGCGGTGGGAGGCCTCATTAGGGAAGTGTGCCTCAGTTTATGAATGGTTTCGGATTAAGAACGGACTTCCAGAATGGATTAAGTTCGTAAACTGAGGCACCACTGTAATCTGGTTTGTGCAAGGTCCCCTAGAAAGCCTATGACAGGGACAGGACTTAAGTGCCAGCAACTAGGGTGCCCTGAGCATTCACATTCAGACCCACAGAAGGATTGTTGTGCAAAAGAGAGGACTGGGGAATCCTACATCTGGTGAAATTTCCCCTTCTATTCTCTTAGTTCTCCCAAAGTCTAGAGACACATCAGTATTCAAGTATGAGCCAAGGGAGATATCCTTTGGTGCAACTTATGGTCTTGTATGCCTTCCACAGCATCCTGTTGGAAATGTACATGAAAGTAAAGCACAAGACGCAAAATGAAAGGTGTGGCTTATGAAAGATGCCTTGGATTTGCTCTGGGAGAAATGTAAGAAATCCCGTTGCACCTCTATGTACTATTCATGTATGTATATGTTTTAAATGGAGTGTGCACTGTAATTTCTACATAGGCTTTTGTTAGGTTGCTTTTAAAGTGAGTTTATAAATCTAGAGTAATGCATAAGGAAGGTGTTGCTATCCAAGGAAGCTCGTGTCTCCGTTTGAAGGGCACATGTACCCAAGCCATATGCCTGTGAGCTGCAGAGCTGCTTTCTGAGTCTCAGTTTGGATTTTAAAAGAAATTGTGTAGGTGGGTGCTCAGACTTTCTTCCATGCAAAACAGGAGATATCTTGCTAACACTCAGGCTTCCCTTACCAAAGGATCTCAGTGACTAACACCTGGCTCTCCAGCACTGAATAATAACCGTGCCACCTTTAAGTGTGACAAAACATTTTGGAACAGCAAACCTTTACTCTTGTATTGTTTGTGTGTAGATGGTTTTTTCTTGGTGATGATAGCTCTCCAATATGTATTTTGGGAGAGGGTCCATTACTGCATTTTGATCCATTTCTGTTGACCAGAAATACTGTTCGACCTGCTTTGAAATCCACATGGGATGTGGACAGGCATCCTTAACCAGAGCTAGTAACTTTCTAAGCATTCTTCTTCCTGAGTCACACAACTGAAGAAGCAAGCCGCAGATGAAATATCTCTAGTTTATTACATGCTGTTTGAAGGCACCTGTTCATTGAGTGAACAAAATTTATTATTCCAAACTGTTGTAATTTCTTTTTCAAACAGAAGTAGAATAAATCTGATATTGTCTTCAACATGGTTGTATTCCTGACATTTGTCAAATGTCCCTGAACTACTGCTATTGTCATCCCAGTATACAAATCAATGTATGTGGAGAGGAGGAACATGGGACTTCAGATCATTAGCTCAGACTTAGTGCACAGTGGGGAATTAGCTATCCAAACAAAAATCCAAAACTGAGAATCAAAGAAAACACAGTTTATTACAAAACAGAAAGATTGGTTACTGTTTGTGTTGTTACAAAAATAAGACGTTTGTTAATCCAGTTGAACAAGCAGTTCTGGCATTACATCTACCAAGTGGTAGAGATTGGATGGATCTAATGTCAAGTATAAAGAGAGGGAGAGAAGTACAAAAGGTGCCAGACAGACATGCATGGAGCTGATTAAAGAGGGGAGTTGGAATGCAAATACTACATACTGCAGTGCCTTGTGAGCACCTGCATGAGAGCTAAAAGGAAAGACAGAGGGAGGGAAAGAGAAGCTGAAGCACAAATATCACTTATTCCAAGGAAGTAGGTGGCCTTCCACACTACCAGTTCAGTGGGCAGTAGCTCCCACGGGCTTCTAGTACAGTAGAAATAAAATTACCGTACTTTTCCATGTATAAGCAAGGTTTTTTTACTGTAAAATAATGTTCAAAATGAGGGGGTCGTCTTATACATGGATAGTGCAGATGGGGAATGAGCGATTGGTTGCAGCTGCTAGCAGGAGCTTGTCAGCGGCGATTGTGTGTGTGATTGGTGGCTGCAGCAAGGGCTGCTGTGGATTGGCTGCTGCTGTGGCAATTGGGCTGATGATTGGTGGCTGCAGCAAGGGCTGCTGTGGATTGACTACTGCTGTGGCAATTGGGCAATCCCCCCCCAAACTGAAAAAACCTGGGCACTCCCTGTGACATTAACATATGAAAGTGCTGGAGGTGAAATAGTTAAACAGGTTATCCAATCAGAACCCACCGTTGGGAGGTTGGTTGGAGTGGGAGTGAATTGGGATAGAGTTAGTGTAGCGAACTAAGCTGAGTCAGGAACTAGGAAGACAAGTAAATATCTGAGAGGTGGTTTAGTGAGTGGGAGCAGGTAGCGGAAGTTATAGGTCTGGATAGGCACCCCATGATTGTAATGGACCGATACCGTTTATGAAACCACACGCTTGTTAAACTGCAATAAATAAACAGAAGTTTATGTTCCAATTTAACCCTGACTGGACTCAGTATTGTACCAGGTAGGGCCTGGGTGGTGGCAGCGAGAAATAAAGTGGTGGCACAGGGATCAATAGACGGTGAAACGTCTGGGAACCCTGTGTGATCACTACACTCCCAACCCAACCTTTTTGCTCAACAACTCTGGGCCATCTCCCCCCATTTCTTAAATTGGAGGCCCCCAAAATAGGGGTTGTCTTATACATGGGGGCACGTTATACATGAAAAAAATACAACAAGTACAACTACTCTTGTCCCTTAGCAAAAAGGTATGCGTGCCCACAAGGGAGCCATGGAAGTTTCTTACAAACAGGGCTCATTTACTTGGGTCCCAGTTTGCAGTATGACTTGGTTGGATTTGGTTGACATTTTCCTTAATGGGGAAACATTAGAACCTGTCAAGTGGAGAGAAGTGACAGCTGTAGGCTGCGTAAGTGGCTTAATTGGGATTTCTTCCATTAATGCCCTTAGCAGACCCAATAGTGCTCCTAGCAATCATTAGGTGGCATGTAAAACATAGTCACACAATTTAGTGTCACAGTAGCATGAAGAGGCCATCAATATTTTCTCCTTTCTATACTTTCAGTTCTAACTCCCCCCCCCCCACTTTGTTTTTTTAATGGATAATGCAGCTCTGCTTAAAGAAGGTTGATTTGCTTCCCAAATGAATAAGCTGATTATATCATATTATAATGCACTTGTGTAGACAGAACTGTCAATCTGTCAGCTTGTCATCAGATTCTTGTAATCTTAACTGTTGAATAGTTTGTAGCTGAGCACTAATAATGGCTTTCCCCCTCACTGAAATATCTGCATCTTAAAAAGGTTGTGCAACAAGCTATCAACAGGCAAGCTTCAAAGTTTGATATACACATTTTTGCTATCGTTTTCCCCTAATACAATGCATTTCTAAATTATATGTGCATTTTTGTACACATGGGTAGGAGAATTACATCACAAAATTCAGAGAAATAAACAATTTGAAGGCTAGTTGCATTTTGGCTTGCATATTGGTCCAAATTAGAGAAGCGTGAATTTTGTAGTTTCTTATTAACATTAAATTTCTTGCCTATCACTACTGTCAGCTGTCTCCTGCTGCTGTTTTCTGTAGATGCAATAGAGGCGGTGAAGAAAGTCGTCTTCACCGTTGCTATCCCCACTTGGTAGGCTCAACATTGAGCTCTAACCCGTGTCCAGTCAGCTTCAGAATGAGTTATCCTCCACAGGCTCTCTAGCTATCTCAGTGATTGTTTCATTGCCCTCAGATCCACGGAAAACCATGGGGCTGTCCAGGCTCCATGCAATCAGAGAGGGCACTTCAGAGCCAAACAGTCAATAGCCCTGGTTAACTCCACATTCCAGCGGGCCACCAGGGGATCAGCTGAAAGGCCATCAACATGGGATAAAGCATCCCCTACCACTCTTGGAAACCATTTGAATCCATTAAGTGGCGGGGGCAGACCCCAGGCTGCATACAGGGTGCCTTATAGGCCCTTCTCCAGCATTGGTAACCTGTGGCCTTGCAGATGCGGCTGAACTACAACTACAGTCATCCCTGGCCACTGGCATACAGGTTGAGTCTGATGGGAGCTGAAGTCCAACAACATCTGGAGGACCACCTTTTCCTCACCACTGAACTCTGCTGAAAGTGTGGAACATATTACTAGCAACAGTAGACCTGGTCCTTTTCTCAGCTGCCCAGTGAATGTATGAAAAAGACTCTCGTTCCTCAAGTGGATCTGATGTACATCCTACATACACCCAAGCCCCACAATTCACATATATACAAGGAATCACCAGCACCTACATATCCTAACTACAGGAAATGGCAATCAAGGGGCCTGTGCAATACGACAGATTTCCATGTACAAGATTCCCATTTTCAATATGGACAGAGAGGTCCCTGCTTTATTCACACCACTGAGGTCTGGTTTTGCATTCCTATGCCAAGCCGATAACACAGGAAGCTGCTAAGCCATCCGTCAACAAGCAATGCAGAGGGGGGGAAAGGAGAACCAGATGGAAACATTGTGCTTCCCCTTAAGTGGCTATTGGAAAGTGGCATGTAACAGGAGATTCCTTGTAAAATGAAAAATGCTCGAGGTGTATAACGACAGCCAACTAACAGTAACATGTGTTCTTCTTGATAAGGGCTCCTTTTGTGAGGCTGAGTATCCCAATCAGACTGAAGCCAAAGCTTTGAAATGTGCAGCTGAGGACGCACATGGAGCAAAGTGAAAATGGGCTTCCTCAAGACTGTTTTTTTTAGAGGATTTTCCAGTACTGTTTGCAAGGAGTAACACCTGTGTGATTAAAGTTCAGACTGGAGTAGAATCATGGCCAATAAAGCACTGCAAAGCTCTGAAAACAACCAGTCTTCTAAACTATTATACAATGGAATAATCAGATGGTATAATCAAATCTAGGCAATTGTTAACAAAACTTAACGTATTATGAAAAGAAGCAAAGGAGGATGACCACTTAATTTATTCATTTTAAATGGAGACTATTTAGAAATCACCAGACTGCATCAATCCAGGATAATGCTCAGCCATATTTTTTTTGCTTATTTTTTCCTTTGGCATATATAATTTTTCTTCTTCTTTTTTCTTGTGGTTTTTTCTTCTTTTTTTCTTATTTTCTATCAAAGAGAGAATCAATGGACGAAGAGAATTGATATAGCTCATACTATTGAATAAACAAATATGAGCAGTCCTTGTATTTAAAAAAGTCCGGACTAATTTGACCTGCTGCCATACCTGATGGTGGCAGAAGGGCTTGTAATCAGGGAAAGGAACCAGATTTTTAATGAGAAAGTCACCCACCTATTTTTGAATAGTAGATGAAAATACACTGACATAAAAACAGACTTATAAGGCACAGCAATAATAGCTTTATTCATGATCCCACTAGGGCAGAACCACACTAAGCATTTAAGGCTTATTCACTGCACATTCCCAAAGCATCCTGGGAAATGCAGTTTGTTAAAGGTGCTGGTAATTGCAGCTCTGTGGTGGGGAAACTACAGTTCCCAGAGTGCCATGTGCTTTAAATGTGCATTGAATAAGCTTTATATGTACTTCAGCTGCTGCTTGGGGAAGCTCCATTCTGTGATCACATCTTAATTCAATGGCTGCTCTGGCCCACTCTGCAGCAGGGATTTCCTATATTATTATGAAATCTGATGTTTCTAGATCTTCCCGGTCTGACATTTCTGTTCTTACATGGAAGCCTTCTCCAACTTGGTACCCTCCAGATTTTTTGGGAGTGCAGATTTACTATGCACATTGCCTTGAGATGTCTAATGAGAAGTGACCCACATATATCATAAATATCAATAAATAATACTAGCATGGATGTGCTAAAGGCTTGGGCTGATAGGAGTTGCAATCTGGAGGGCACCAGATTGGCAAAGCTTGTTTATGGGACTGATCCACTTCTATGAATCACGTCATTACACACAACACATACATAAGCTTTTTAGTGCTTTAATACATTTTATTAATGTATTAAATACATTATTTATTTAATGTTAAACCACAGAGCCTAGGACTTGCCGATCAGAAGGTTGGCGGTTCGAATCCCTGCGACGGGGTGAGCTCCTGTTGCTCAGTCCCTGCTCCTGCCTACCTAGCAGTTCGAAAGCATGTCAAAGTGCAAGCAGATAAATAGGTACCGCTCTGGCGGGAAGGTAAACGGCGTTACCATGCGCTGCTCTGGTTCGCCAGAAGTGGTTTAGTCATGCTGGCCACATGACCCGCAAGCTGTACGCCGGCTCCCTCGGCCCATAAAGTGAGATGAGCGCCGAAACCCCAGA